CCCCAAAACCCCAAAACCCCAAAACCCCAAAACCCCAAAACCCCAAAACCCCATTAATTAGATAAAATATTGAGTGAATGGTATTGCAAACATGTTCATTTGAACTTATAAGAGTCGAGTTTTTATAGATTTTATAACCAACTTAAATTTAAGCTATTGTTTAGATGAAATCTTCGTCTGGGTCGAAAGCTTCTTCATCTCCTTCCCCATTGTCTTCTTTTTCGTACACAGTTTCTGGCATTTCGATCTTAAATCTGAGGAAACCACCGATACCACCGAAACCATTGACGAATTGATATCCTTCTTGGGACTTGTCGGTGATGAATTCGAGTTGGGCTCCATAGTCTTTGTAATGCTCACACAGCCATTCTGAGAGAGCTTCACATTTGATGACATCCAGATCAATTCCAGTCTTTTCATCAGTGAAATATTTAGGATCCTTCTCTTGGTCTTTATTCAAGTTGTGGACAAAGATCTCTTCAGTCTGGGGGTTTTGGACTTCATATCTGTTGATTTCAAGTCCTTCCCAGCAGACTACCTTATCACAAGCTCCGCATTCTAGCGAATGGAGAGTATCTTCAACTCCGAAGCAGATCATCCCGGTATCGAGAGCAATCTCTTCAAAGTATTTACTGATCAGCTGCTTCTCTTCAACGAACTTGACATTGGAAAGGGCATCTTCAGCCAAAGAGATGGCCTGGTTGAATCCGTTCTCACCTCCATAGGATACATCAACGATTTTGATGACAATTTCAGAAAGTCTCTTATCAAACAAGTCAGATTGGGAGAGATCGTTTTTGAAATTGGCTGATCCAGCTAAGACTAATCCCTTTACGTTTGGTCTATCATCAGTGATGAAGTGAGAGGTAGTAAGTTCGGCGACCTTTCTGACGTAGTGGCCTCTCTTCTCTTCCCTAATTCTTGCAAATCTGGGAGCGGACTGTCCTCCTCTACCATGCTTTTTAGGCAACTGCACACTGATCTGCTGAAGAATGGTCCTGTTGGCTCCTTGGAGTGTACCAAAGAGACATCCTGCTCCATCCATGATAACGAATCCAAAGGTTTCATCATTCTCTAGGAGCTCAAATAGAGGTTGAGTGCAGAACTTATTATCGCAGATATATTTGAACGTGTTTAGCGGTCTGAAGGGTTCAAAGTCAATAGTATACTTCTTCTCAGAACCTCCATCTTCTCCAATAACTGTTCCACAGTAGATGACCAATCCGTTAGCTGGGGTTCTGCTATAGAGCTTGAGTCTCTCCTTGGCGGAGGTAATAGCAGTCAACACGGCTTGTCTATTCACCCTTGATTTAATATTAGTAGCAGTTCCCATTTCAGTTGCAAGCATACCCTGGACCTTGGAGATAGCATCACGTGGGGAGAGTAGGAGGGAGATCATGCTAGTTCCGTTTCCTCTGAGCTTCTCTAAGTTCTTGATAAGTCTTCTAATTTTCCAGATTTCAATGTTGCTGTCTGAGATTGACATATTATTTTATTATTATCTTTACTTCAGGCGAGTTTAAATATATGGGGTTTTGGGGTTTTGGGGTTTTGGGGTTTTGGGGTTTTGGGG